GGGGGGGGGGGGGGGGGGGGGGGGGGGGGGGGGGGGAACATTCTTGACTTGGTCTTGACCAATAGGGAGGAGCTGACAGATGAAGTACAGATTAGGGGAGCTCTGGATGCGAGTGATCACTCCATCCTTTGCTTTGAGATCAGGGAACTGGGGATGTGCAGCAAGTCGAGCACTAGAAGCTGGGACTTCAAGAGGGCCAACTTTGGCCAACTGAAGGCCAGGCTGGGGAAAGTCTCCTGGGATAGGTTACTGGAAGTTGGATAGCACTCAAAAGGGAGGTTTTGGAGGCACAAGCCTTGACGATACCTCTAGTTAGTAAGGCGGGGAGGCAGAGGAGAGTGCCACCATGGATGCGAAAGGAGGTGGTTAGAGGGATTAGACGAAAGAGGAACCTCCGTAGGAAATGGGTACTGGGCCAAATAGACAAAAGGGTATACCGGGAGGAGGAGGCCCGTTGCAGGAGGATTCTTTGCAAGGCTGAGGCCGATTATGAGCTGAGATTGCCAAGAATATCAAGAGCAACAGAAAGGGCTTCTTTCAGCATGCAAATAGGAAGAGGAAGGGGAGGCAAGTGGGGGGACCACTAAATAAGGAGGAAGGAGATCCAGTGACTGATATGAGGGAACAGGCACAGATGCTAAATGACTATTTTGCCTCTGTGTTCTCCCCAAAGCAGGATGCGGGATATCCACAAAGGAGATTAGATGAGGCTGGGGACTTAGGGGCACAGATTAGAGTCACCCCCCCTTGAAGTCAAGGGGCTCCTCAGGGCATTGGACATTACAAAGGTGCCAGGCCCTGAGGGGTTACAGCCAAGAGTACTTAGAGAGGTGGCAGGAGTTCTCTCACACCCGCTGACCTCCATTTTTGAGGCCTCTTGGAGAATGAGTGAAGTTCCAGAGGACTGGAGGGTAGCATCAGTGGTCCCAATTTTCAAAAAGGGTAGTAGAAGGGACATGGGGAATTACAGACCTGTTAGTCTTCCATCCATTGCAGGAAAAACAATGGAAAGGCTCATAATAGAGAGAGATCTAGTGATGCTACACAGGGAAGGGAGGCTGGCAGTCACACAAAATGGCTTCTGCAAAAACAGGTCCTGCCAGACAAACCTTGTGGAATTCTATGACAAGGTTTCAAGATGGCCAAATGGAGGGGATGCAGTGGATGTGGTATACCTGGATTTCAGCAAGGCCTTTGACAAAGTGCCCCATGATATCCTGGTGGAGAAACTGAGGAGTTTTGGGATACACCAAAGCACTGTCCGGTGGATTAGGGCATGGTTGACTGACCAAAAGCAGAAGTTAACCATTAGTGAGGAATCACTGGGATGGCAGCCAGTGACAAGCGGGATTCCCCAGGGCTCTGTCCTGGGGCCGATCCTGTTTAATCTTTTCATTAATGACAAGGAAGAAGGGGTGAACCGTCTGCTGATCAAATTTTCAGACGACACTAAAACTGGAGCAGTGGCCATAACTGAGGAGCAGGTACTCCAGATCCAAAAGGATCTGGACAGACTATGGAAGTGGGCAGGAGACAACAGGATGGTGTTCAATGTGGATAAGTGCAAGGTCTTGCACTTGTGCCATAGGAATGGGTGTCATAAGTACAGGTTAGGGGACAAGTGGCTGGAGAACAGCACTTGTGAAAGGGACCTCGGGGTGCTGGTTGACTGCAGGCTAAACATGAGTCAGCAGTGTGATGCAGTGGTCAAGAGGGCAAATGCCACCCTTGGTTGCATAGCCAGAAGTGTGGCTTCTAGATCAAGAGAGTAATTACTACCACTCTATACGATTCTGGTGCACCCTCAACTGGAGTATTGTGCTCAGTTTTGGGCCCCTCATTACAGGAAGGATATAGCCAGGTTAGAGTCAGTGCAGCGTAGGGCCACAAGGTTAGTGGCCGGTTTGCAAGGGATGGGGTTTGAGGCGAGACTGAGGGAGCTGGGTCTCTTCAGCCTGGAGGAGACTCAGAGGGGATACGTTGGCGACATACAGGTATGTGAGGGGATGTCACATGGAAATGGCTAGAGACCTGTTCTGCCCTGCAGAGGAAGGCATGACGCGCTCCAAAGGAGCCAAGCTCAGGGAACCAAGGTTCCATTTGGATGCCAGGAAGCACTTCCTGACAGTCAGGACCCCGAGGGTGTGGAATGGGCTTCCACGGGAGGTCGTTGAGGCCCCATCGGTGAGGGTGTTCAAAGATAGGCTGGACATGCCCATGGTGGGCATGTCTTGAGCGGAGCCGGCTGGTGTCGGAGGTCAGACTAGATGGCCCGGGAAGCCCGTTCTGACTCGCTCTGTTTCTATGTTTCTAGACCAATGGGCTGTCATTACATGTGAACAGAGTCAATAGCAGAATCACAGATATGCAGAGCAAGCTGGAGGATATGGCTACTATCCCTTATATCTCCTCAGAGACATCCCAGGTATGTAAGTAAGTGAAACAACATTGGTGACACTGAACTCTTAATCTTTCATAAACCTTAAAAGGTATGTGAGCTCAAAGGAAATTAAATCTTTGAGCATTTAAATGACAGGTCAGCTCCTTTCATACCCATGACCTGGATGAACAAAACTTTAGACACAGATCATAGCTATCTTTATTTTTAAGTAGTTAAATTATTAGTTACAAAGGCATCTGTGCAGAACCATGGTCATCTATTACCATCCCCAATAAAAAATAAGAGGGTATTCGATTAAGTCCATTCTGGTTGTACATTAGTAATTGTTAAACCACTGGCAGCTGAATCTTAGAACATTACACAATGTGCCTTCAACAACATGTGGCAACCAGTTGTTTTGGCTTACAGTGTACCTGTACAATATTCTTGACTTCTCAACTCTGAAGCAAGTCTTGAGCTGAGTTCAGTGGGACTGGGATTGCACCCTTAATGTTTTAAGATTTGCACAAGCATGCATTTATTTGCATATGGTGCAAGAGATTTATTGATTTCAAAGTTACTTCTCAAGCATTATACCCGTATATAGCAATGGTTACCACATTGCTCCAGAACAGAAACATTCCCTGAGTGCAGAGCTCCCACATTATGTCATAGTGGAAGCCTTAGAGCTAAAGAAAGAACTCTCTGGTGGCCCATTCTTTTGCATGCCCAGACAGAAACAAGTCTCTCTGAATTCAGTGGGCTTTTTTCCATATAACCGAGACTGAAAGCCTAAGATATCTGTTGCTAGCACTCATTTCAACAACTGCTACCAACAGTCATATCAGAGACTGGTTTGGGGTGGGCAGAAGGAGAACATACACATGTCCCCGTTGCATCAATGGAGACTGGTGGGTCAGCACTCTTGGGCCTCTCCTCTCATGTTAGTGCCCATTGGTGGGGCCCAATGGCAGGCCAGTTCTTCTCAGGATACTGTGGGCTTCCCAATGCCCCACTGCAGACATGCTGCAAATACAGAGAGCCTTGCTACTCCATTTTCTCCCTCCACTGGCTTGTGTCTCATACTTCCCTACAACAAAAAATGACCACCACAGTTTGAAAGCTTGCTGTTCAATACTGTGTATCATACTTCAGTCTAAAAGCACAAGTAGGCAACATGTGGCCAAGGAAACACTTTTTAAAAATTTATTTTTCATGATATTTTTAGCTTATTTAGCAAAGGTTCTTGAGAGGGCTGATGATATAGCACAAACCATTTAAATTACAATTCCAATAAAAGGCAGCAAATGAAAAGCAGAGCAAAACAGAGGAATACAAATACAGCAGTAACCCAGTCTGAGGTTCAATCCAATGCTTCTTTACACTGAAAAATTTCTGCAACTGCCAGCATTCCATGGTAACAGTGTTGGCTGGGGAATGTTAGTAGTGTCAGGCTTTTTTTCTTTTAAACATGCATAGGATAGTGCCCTTCAAGTTTTCAGAGCTCAAGTAGAATAGAGCTGCAACGTGGCTTTAAAAGCCTGGTGTCAAAATTATGTCAGAGAGGAGCTTCAAAGCTGGGGAGGGCATTCTAGAACCAGAAGTCTACCACCAAAATGGTCCTCTTGGTCACTGTCACCTGCTGCAGCTCACTTGGCAGGGCCACCCCCAGAAGGCATTCAGATGGTGATCAGGTAGGTACAAGCAGGACAATGTGATTGTTCAGTTCCCAAGCTTAAAGGGAAAAGAAACCCAGCACTTTAAATGTTACCCTGAAACTAACTGGGAGCCAGTGGAGAGGATGAAATCCTGGCACAGTATGTTCGTGGCTCCCAGCAAATACATTTTGAGCCCTATGTAGGAAAGCAGAGGGGAGAGGAATCCACTGGAAATTCTTTCTTTTTCCTGCCTCTTTCTGAAGCCCACCCCCAGTAACCTCAAGGAGAGGGACCCTGAAAGAGAATCCAAAGCTGGCATTTTTCCATCTCTGGTTTAGTGTCATATGTGAATGCAGCCAATACCAAGCACTGTTGATATGTTTACTGGTGTAGGTAGATTTCATCCACTTTTATCCAAAAGCCGAAGCTGACCCTCATAAAAAGATAAAATATGAAAGACAATTAGCACTTACCTTTACTGAAACGAAACAGATTTACAAAAGAGCTGTATGCAGATTTAAATGGAGGTTCATCTTGGTCAGGGGTCAAAGGTTTGAAGTGTGTAAGGTGAGAAGGACTGCCAGGAGAGCTGGGCAGATCATTCACAGAGTCCAGGGTTGGAGATACTTTGTCCTCTGTGGCCATTTCATGGATCCTAAGAAAGTTGAATGTGAACATGAATGTTTTATGTTCATTTGCTCCGACGCAACATAAACCACTTTCCAGATTTTAGTGTCTCCTCCAAGCCAACAAGACAAGACACAAAAGGCTGGAGTTCCTGGTCCTTTACCAGTCTGAGCCATTTGCAGCATGAATCCGAAAAGGCCTTTCTAAATTCCCATCAAAAGGAAACAAATAACACAGGGTTGCATGAAGACAGGATTACATGGTACAACACTGCTCTAATAGGATAACTGACAGTGCTTCAATTTACCATTCCACAAATACATATATGTAAAAAAAATCCCACAAGGGGAACCTACATCTGTCAGTGAAGTCAGAAGCTACCCCCTTCTTCCCACCACTCCCGCCTCCACTCCCTTGACTATTATTTTGTGTTCAAGTTTACAGGCAAGGCTGAAAGACAATATACATCTTGTTTCTCTTGCCACCTTTTATCCCAGGAACATAGTTGTGCTCCACCCTCACAAGAACGAGGTTAGGTAAGCTAGGGGAGTCAATAAGCCAGTTTGGATAATACATTTCTGGCTTACTAAGCCATAATTTCTGCAAGCCAGGAATGAGAGTCAGGACTGCACACTTCCCACTCCCCTCTTTGTATACCAGCTTTGGTCCTCCCAAAAGGTTACACTAGACCAGGACAGAAAGTAGATTGCCAAATGTTCGAAACTTTAATATCAAGCATTCTTGATCAGCAGCCATACTGGCAGAAACTTCTGGGAGCTGAAGTTCAAATCTACCTTCTGCCCATCCTTGGGTTACACTGGTCCCCAGTACTAATATCACTCTAAAGCTGAAACTGGTGCACAAGGTGGCGGAGGAAATGTGAGGAGGAACAAGTATCAGGGCTTGTTCATTCCTGAGTTCCTAAATAGTTTTGCAAGCCAGAATCATCATATATTAAAAGGATCCATTAGGCCAGTTTGCACATCACACCATTATTAACCCACAATTTAACTAATCTACAGTTTGCTAAAGCACATACTGTATGCAAGCCATTTCTTTTTATTGCAAGCAACCTCCAAACAGTGCATTCTGCAAATCTAGACCAATGGGTTCTTTAGTCCCTAAACAACTAGCTGTCCAGGTTTGCACATCATACTATTAACCTCTGACTGAGCTAATAAGAAGTTGTTGACATTAAACTGAAGTAGCTGATAGATGGTACACAAATAGATGCACAGATTCATGCAAATAAAGGGTTAAAAATGCTGTCAGGAAGGGTGCAAATCATGGGTTATTTAACCCACAATATGCTGTTACATGTGCTGGGGATATTTCAGCACTATTTTGCATATGCAACCTCTAATCAAAACCAGACACTGTAAGGCAATCACAGATTAGATGACCCACAGTTTACTTAACTCCTAATTATGGTTTAACTGTGTGAAGTTTTACCTAAAATGTTCAGGTTTGGCCTTCTCATAGCAACCTCCAATTTGACCAATCAGAAGTTGCATATGCAAAATGGCAGCAGAATGGACAGCTGTTCCATACAAACATGGTAAATACATTTCATAGCTAGACAGGTATTTCAACCTGGATTTCTCACATCTAAAACCTGGTGACCCTCCTAGTGGGTATGCTCTCACACGTCCCTATTTTGTGTAAGGCAAATTCAACTGATAAGCTGAAGAATGTCTTCAAGAGAAATTGTGGCATACATACAAAGCTTAAGTATGCATGACTCCATCTACTCTCATGACCATGCCTGCCTCCTGCTCAGATCTAAATGAAACAGTAGTGCTCTTGCAATTGGAGGGAGCAATATTTTGCTGGATTTACTGAAAAGCATTTTGATATGCTATCACTGTAAAACACCAGAGATTTTACTACTAAGTGCATATAATTGTTACTCACTCATGCCATTTTTACTAGAGATTTCATAGATGCTAAGACAGAAGAATAAAGTCAACAACATTCTCATGTCCCTTGATCAGTGTCATTAAAGCCAAGGTAGCAGTATTGACAGCAAGTTTTGGTACCTTACAGTTGCCCTAATAAAGCCTAGTCAATGAAACCTTACAAATAACTCTATAAATGTTAATGCAGGTTAATACTAGCCCACTTGTTATACATACTAATTAGGTGAGTTGTAGCCTTAAGAGATCCAAAACTTAGCAGCAGGGTCAACTATTCAATGTTTACAAAGACTTCCTCATCTAATTTCCTAAAAGCATTTCTTAATCACTATGTGCTGCTTAGAATCCTAGATTAACAAGGAAAAGGAAGAAACAGGCTGACATTTGGCTATGGGAAAACAAATGTGTCAACTGCTGAGTAGTTCGGGGAGGAGCATGAGGAAAAAAGTGTTTCACAATATGCATCCTTTTTCTGGAGATGGCTTCTGAATAGGTCTGCCCAGCATGGCAGTTCAATTCAAAGGCAGCAAAGCTTCCAAAAATGCTTCCTTTTTCCTGTCCGCAGGGAACAACTGATGATTCCAACTCCCTACCATTACCACTGTTACAAAGGAACATGTCTCGCATCAGCCATCAGAAAAGTCTCTAGTTCACCATCAGACTAGATTATGCTGAAAAATCAAGCCTTACACACTTTTTGATTATAGAAAAGTATTCAGCCACTCTCCTTCATGGATCACTGCCTTGTCGTGGCGACGGGGCTTGAGCAGCTCAATGAAGCTATGAGCTATGCCATGCAGGGCCACCCAAGACGGACAGGTCATAGCAGAGAGCTCTGACAAAAGGTGATCCACTGGAGAAGGAAATGGCAACCCACTCCAATATCTTTGCCATGAAAACCCCATGGACAGTACCAAAAGGCAAAAAGATATGACGCCGGAAGATGAGCCCCTCAGGTTGGAAGGTGTCCAATATGCTACTGGGGAAGAGCAGAGGGCTAGTACTAGTAGTGCCAGAAAGAATGAAGTGACTGGGTCAAAGCTGAAAGGACACTCAGTTGCCGATGTATCTGGTGGTGAAAGGAGAGTCCAATGCTGTAAAGATCTATACTCATAGGAACCTGGAATGTAAGATTCATGAATCAAGGCAAGCTGGATGTGGTCAAACAAGAGATGACAAGAATGAACATCGACATCTTAGGAATCACTGAACTAAAATGGACAGGAATGGGTGAATTTAATTCAGATGACCATCAGGTATACTACTGCGGGCAAGAATCCCTCAGAAGAAATGGAGTAGCCTTCATAGTCAATAAAAGAGTAGGAAAAGCAGTACTGGGATATAATTTCCAAAATGACAGAATGATCTCTGTTTGAATTCAAGGCAAACCATTCAACATCACAATAGTCCAAGTCTGTGCCCCAACCACTGGTGCTGAAGAGGCTGAAGCTGACCAGTTCTATGAGTGCCTAAATCACCTTCTAGAATTAACACCCAAAAATGATGTCCTTATCATCATGGGGGATTGAAATGCTAAAGTAGGAAGCCAAAAGATAACTGGAATAACAGGCAAGTTTGGCCTTGCAGTACAAAATGAAGCAGGGCACAGGCTGGTAGAATTTTGTCAAGAGAATACGATAGTCATAGCAAACACTCTTTTCCAACAACCCAAGAGACAACTCTACACATACACATCACCAGACGGTCAACACAGAAATCAGATTGACTATGTGCTCTGTAGCCAAAGATGGAGAAGCTCTATACATTCAGTAAAAACTAGACCAGGAGCTGGCTGTGGCTCAGATCATGAGCTTCTGGTTGCAAAATTTAGGCTTAAATTGAAGAAAGTAGGGAAAAGCACTAGGCCGCTCAGGTATGACCTAAATCATATCTCTGATGAATATACAGTAGAGGTGAGAAACAGATTTAAGGAATTAGATCTGACAGACAGAGTGCCTGCAGAACTATGGACGGAGGTTTGCAACATTGTACAAGAGGCAGCAACTAAAACCATCCCAAAGAAAAAGAAATGCAAGAAAGCAAAATGGCTGTCTGAGGAAGCTTTACAAATAGCTGAGGAAAGAAGGGAAGTGAAAGGCAAGGGAGAAAGAGAAAGGTACAAACAAATGAATGCAGAATTCCAGAGAATAGCTAGATAAGAATGCCTTCTTAAATGAACAGTGCAAGGAAATAGAAGAAAACAATAGAATAGGGAGGACCAGAGATCTCTTCAAGAACATTGGAGATATGAAGGGAACGTTTCATGCAAAGATGGGCATGATAAAGGACCAAAATGGCAGGGACCTAACAGAGGCAGAACTGATTAAGGAGAGGTGGCAAGATTACACAGAGGAACTATACAAGAGAGAGCTTAACGTTCCCGATAACCATGATGCGGTGGTCACTGACCTCGAGCCAGACATCCTGGAAAGTGAAGTCAAATGGGCCTTAAGAAGTCTGAGCAACAACAACGCCAGTGGAGGCGACAGTATTCCAGCTGAGCTATTCAAAATCCTAAAAGACGATGCAGTAAAAGTGCTACACTCAATATGCCAGCAAATTTGGAAAACTCAGCAGTGGCCACAGGATTGGAAAAGGTCAGTTTACATTCTGATCCCAAAGAAGCGCAATGCCAAAGAATGTTCAAACTACCGCACCATTGCACTCATCTCACATGCTAGCAAAGTGATGCTCAAAATCCTACAAGCTAGGCACCAGCAGTATGTGGACCGAGAACTACCAGAAACACAGGCAGGATTTCGAAGAGGGAGAGGAACTAGAGATCAAATTGCCAACATACGCTGGATCATGGAGAAAGCTAGGGAGTTCCAGAAAAACATCTACTTCTGCTTCATTGACTATGCTAAAGCCTTTGATTGTGTGGATCACAACAAATCGTGGCAAGTTCTGAAAGAGATGGGAGTACCAGACCATCTTATTTGTCTCTTGAGAAACCTGTATGCGGGTCAAGAAGCAACAGTGAGAACTGGACATGGAACCACTGATTGGTTCAGAATTGAGGAAGGAGTTCGGCAAGGCTGTATACTGTCGCCCTGCCTATTTAACTTATATGCAGAGCACATCATGAGAAAGGCGGGCCTAGATGAATCAC